GAGTTTGCAGCTGCAATGCAATTTCCTTTGCAACAGACGCTAGTGGGGACCTGTCTTGCTTTGTCAGAAAATCTAAACGATTCTCAGAAAGTTCCCCTGTTAAGTGCCTCTGGTCCACATGCCCAGTTTCTTTATTGTTACTTCAATTTTACTTTGGACATGAAAAACTGTCATTGACGTGCCTTGAAGGCCAAGACTGAGCTAATTTAAACGGCTGAAAAATATGCAAATTTTGCAAGCCATTCAAAATTATGGAAGTGCTCTGAGAGCTCAAATTTAGAGACAGATTTTTAAAAATCTGTGCCTCATCTTAATTCAAAATGTTGCGTCAGCATCTTGTTTCACAAAAGCCGTTGCACCTCCTCGTGCCAAAGAAGCTGAACATGACTCCTTCCTATTTTCTCACAAAGCACTTGAGATAATCGTGACTGGAAGGGGACACTCTTTATAAAGATAAGTATTTTAACCACGTTATCCAAAAACAAGCTTAAGAAAACAATAAGGTTCCATAGCACTACGTGCTTTGGACCCTTAATAATAATAATCCTAACAAAAACAATAAGGTTCCATAGCACTACGTGCTTTGGACCCTTAATAAGCTGAATTTTTTTTAACTTGAGTAATGACTCCATTGGATCAACCCATCATTCCTCTTACTGGGTTCCATTTGTGCCAGAATGGAACCCCATATGCTCTAACCACATCTGTGCTTATTCCCACACATTTTGTCCAATCAATTCCATCGGACACAATAAATGCATTTAGAACGACAAACATGGCTTCAGCAGTTGACTGAGCAGGTAAAGGCTTACAGAAAATAAAGCCTTCACATATGGCTGTTTTTTTTTCATATCTCACGTATATGCAGAGGTGGACGAAGTACACAACTCCATTACTTTAGTCAAAGAATAGAGAATATTACTCCAATACAAGTGAAAAGTGTTCACTTAAAGGTTACTTCACTTGTTCACTTAAGGTTACTTCGGAATATTGGTCTGATTCAGGGCTTTTCAAATCTGGCTCTTGATTCCAAATCAAATTCCAAATGAGGTGTGGGTTGAAATCTGTGTGCCTGTAATCAGAAGGTTGCCAGTTCAAACCCAGCCTCAGCACATCTGTGGGTCCTTGAGCAAGGCCCTTAACCCCCAGCTCCCTGGGAGCTGCTACAGGTGGCTGTCCTTCACAGATGACTCATTATACAAAGAGGGAGGCATAAAGACAATTTCCCCACTGGAAATAAAGTATCTATTATTATCTTCAGTTCTCCCAAGCAGTTATTGATTCTGATTGGCTACAGAGGCTTCACAACTGGTTCACAGGTAAAGGAAGGCAGGGAAATCAGCAGTGCTTGGCCCTTGGGGACCGTCATTTGAATAGCCCTGCTCTAATTAGTTGAATTACTTATGATATGCTGATGAAATATTCTTCTTATTGTTTTTTTCTTAATAAAGTTGTACTGTGCAGTTGGAGGGCAGATTTAATTTTGTAATGTAGGTATTTTTACTATGTAGTTTTTGCATATGGCTGCGGACAATTACAAACAGTGGAACACATTATTTAAGTGTAACAGCTTTAATATAAAAGCACAGTTCCAGTAAAAAATATCGCTTAATTGTTATCTGTGGTCTGTTTTGAATAAAATGTTCTGATTTAGCAGTTTTGTTGATCACTAGATTTTCTTTAGGATTGATAGCGTTTCATCAGCATCAATTCATTGGGCAGGCACAATGTAAAGCGCTTTGAGGCAATGTAATATTGTGAAAATGCACCATATGAATAAACTTGAATTGCATTCAGATAAACAGAATTTCCAGTAAACAATAGACTTGAAATATGAAATGAGTGAATTTGACTAAATTATAATTTGTGGTCGCAATGATTGTTTAATTTTCTGTTTTCTTACTCAAACCATACCGTCTAATAAATAATTTCTTTATCTAAATGCTTTAGTCAAGTCAGAAGCTCAGGAAGTTTATGGGGTTTTGAAACAAGATGAGGGAACATAGTGTGGTTACATGAACTTCTCTGTACCTAAATTCAACACTGTTAACTTTCGCCTCAACGGAAGCTATTTAAAATATGTTTGAAATAAACGAGTAAGAAAATGTAGCCTTTATTAAATGAAAAGGAGTTGTGTCTGAAATCTAAATAATTATAAAAATTCAATAGCATGTCTCATTTAATGACTTTATATTTAACTGTATGGATTGATCATTCCAGTTAAAGCAATCAGTAACTTTTGTGTTCCTCATAGCCGTCACTCATGGAGCTGCTGTCGCTCCACCCCAGGAT